TTCTTGCCTGGAAAGTGCCAAGGAGAGAGAAGCCTGGTGGGCCCCAGGCCATGGGGTCACAAAGAGTCAGTCTTGAGTGACCACACACACACACACACACACACACAATCCATTGTTTTAGGATTCACTGATAAGCTTTATCTATGTTGATTTTGGGGCTCCCCAGGTGGTGCTAGTGGTTAAGGAACCTGCCTGTCAAAGCAGGAGAAGTAAGAGACACAGGTTCAATTGCTGGGTCAGGAAGATCCCCTGGGGGAGGGCATTACAACCCACTCCAGGGTTCTTGCCTGGAGAATCCCATGGATAGAGGAGTCTGGCAGACTCCAGTCTACAGAATCCCAAAGAGTCCAACATGACTGAAGTGACTTAGCAGGGATGTCAATTTTTACATTGGGAGTTGCAAAGTGGGGATATTTTACTACTGTTTTTGCATTAACTGGCATTCTCGTGTGAAGAGCTTTCCATTTTTAGTCCTCTTCTCCCTCATTCACCCTCCTACAAACAGGACTTAAAACATTAAACGTGTTATTAAACTATTACCATCATTATTCTTTTGATGCACAAATTGTTCCAAACATGCTCAGTGTAAAACCCTTTAGGCCAGATCCAGTGTCCTTTGTTAAATGACTTTATTCGTCTCTGAAAACTTCTTTGCGTTTTCTGACAAGAATGTTCTAGGTTCACTTTATAATTTCCGTGCCCCAGACCTGGAAGCAGCCTTCTCTCCAAGAGGCACTGGTTTCTTTTAGCGATAAATGGTATTTAGAAACCATCTGGGTGGCTTGGTCCGGAGATGTCCATTGTTACTGGGGTGCCAGGGCTTCTAGGCCTCCAGGCCCTCTCGGTGGACCCAATTAAGATAAAAAAAGATAAAAACCCAAACAATCCAGGTCATTCTACTACCAATTCAAATCTAACATCATGGGGTTCTTCTTTACTTTCTATCATACCATATTTATTTCTCTTCTCCCACAGTGAGAACCCTGGAACCAAACACGAATATTTTTACTGATTTGCTTTTTCCTATAACACATGCATAACAGTTTCAAAATTATACCAAGATCCGTTTCAACATCAAGCCTACTAAGCCAAGTTATTAATTTTTTTGCATTTCTTTTTGCTCATCATATCCCACAACTCCTAACTCCTGTACATAGAATACTGTGCCCAAGTTAATTGAACAAGCTCTTTTTCTCTGTGTAGCTATGCTGACAATTTGATATAGGGGTATATTCATCTCTTTCTTTGCATTTTAGGGCTTGCATTTCTCAAGCATTTTAGGGCTTGCTTTTATTTTTAGGTTTAATTTTTTGAAAAGGCAAAATTCTGGTTTTTTTTTTTTTAAAGTTACAGAAGTCACATTCCCATCCCCAATAGATAGCCATTTACAACTAATTTTCTGTTTTATAGTTTTTGTATTTCTATCTTCAAAAATATACCAAAAATGTGTGTGGAATACATATGTATGTAAACTCTCATTTCTTCTTCTTGCTTACGTAATAGTACAGTTTTTATATACTTTTGCATCTTTTTTCTTCACTGAACAATATAAATATCATCTTATTCTAAAACGTCATTGAAGTGCTTTAAGCCAGAGGCTGACATGATCATTCCCACGTGAAGCTGGTTTTGCTGCCCTATAAATAACGGAGAACAGGATGTGAAGCAGGCGGCCAGCTGGAGGCTGTAGGGGTCTGGGTAATGAAAAGAGAAGCAAGCATTTATTTCACTTCTAACAAAAAAGTACAACAGATACATTTGTTTACGAACTGGATGAGAGTGGTGAGGGAAAAGGAGAACTCAGAGATGATTCTTCCTCATGAAGGTAGATGCGTGGTGGTGTCATTTACTGAGGCACAGATTAGAGAGGAGAGGCTTCCCGTTTTGCAATGAAAAATCATGGTCCCATATTGAATATGCTAAGTCAGAGATTAACAGTAAACAAGGGGAGGGTGACCTTTTGCTGGCCCAGAAGCCAAAGGAAGAATGTTTCAAGGCTGAAACATTTAACTGTGTGGATGAAACAAACTGTGAGGAATGCTTCTGAGAGCTAGAATAAAAGAAGGCAGAAAATCCACTGGCTCTTATATTTATCCTGCCCCTGTACCTGGGTGCTTACTCCTCTTTTTTTTTTTTTAAACTTATTTAACACCTAATAACCCTTGGAGATCCAGATCAAACACTACTTGCTCAGGTTCTGGTGACACTGTCTTACAGCTCTAAACATTTTCTTCAAACCACTCAGTACAGTTGTAATTTCTCAATTATTTATGTCTTTTTATTTGTATTTGCAATTTTTTGTCAATTATTTGAATATAACAGTGACAGGTTTTATTTTCTTGGGCTACAAAATCACTGCAGATGGTGACTGCAGTCACAAAATTAAAAGATACTTGGAAGAAAAGCTATGACAAATCTAGACAGTGCATTAAGAAGCAGGGACATCACTTTGTTGACAAAGGTCCGTATAAAGTTATGGTTTTTCCAGCAGTCATGGACAGATATGAGAGTTGGACCATAAGGAAGGCTGAGCATCCAAGAACTGATCCTTTCGAACTGTGATGCTGGAGAAGACTCTTGAGAGTCCCTTGGACAGCAAGGAGATCCAACCAGTCAATCCTAAAGGAAATCAACCGTGAATTTTCATTGGAAGGACTGATGCTGACGCTGAAGCTCCAATACTTTGGCCACCTGATGCGAAGAGCCAACTCATTGGAAAAGACCCTAACTCTGGGAAAGACTGAGGGCAAGAGAAGGGAGCAACAGAGGATGAGATGGTTGGATGGCATCACCGACTCAGTGGACATGAGTCTGANAAAAGACCCTAACTCTGGGAAAGACTGAGGGCAAGAGAAGGGAGCAACAGAGGATGAGATGGTTGGATGGCATCACCGACTCAGTGGACATGAGTCTGAGCAAACTCCTGGAGACAGTGATGGACAGGGAAGCCTGGCATGCTGTACTTCATTGGGTTGCAAACAGTCAGACACAACTGAACAACAACAAAGCTCCTCGAGGGTTAGGGTCTGTTTTGGTAGCTTTCCTCCACTTTCTCAATGCCTCTAGTCCAGTGTTTGGCACTTAGCAGGTTTTCAATAAGTATTTGTTGAACAATAAACAAATGTAGCACCTAGAGGGCCCAAGAGTTGGAATCAGTAACAGCTAGTAAAAAGCAAAACGGGAAGCGCAGATTTTTGGGTAGACTTGCCTGAAAGGGTAATGAGTTTGACACAGAGGCCCCTAAAGACTTAAGTTCCAGCCCAAGCAGTAAATTACAGTTTTACTTTATCATCTCTCCTTTCTTCCCTTTCTCTCTTTCTTCCCTTCTACTTTCTCTGTTCATTTTTACTCCTGGCCTTGCATCCCTTCTTTACTACTAACTGGCTCACCACAAATATGATGATTTTGTGGGGAAAGAAAGCAAGCTGAATGAGACAGTGGGAAGTTAGAAAGGGAAGGGGGTAAGTTACAGGGAACATAAATATAGAATAAGAAAAAGAAAGACAGTAAGCTCAACGGAACAGTTACTATGCTACAAATGCTACTAAGTAAAACAGTGGAAAATAAGATCACGTGTGAGACGGCAGGTCTTGAAGTCATCCAGCTGAGTTTAATTTCCCAGTTCCACCATTAATAGCTGTATGCCTTTGAGCAAATTATTTAATCTTGAATTCAGTTTCCTCAAAATCTATAAAAAGAGCATAGTAACAGTACCTACCTCATAGGTTGTTCAAAATCTATAAAAAGTGCATATTAACAGTATTTTCCTCATGGGGTTGTTCTCAGGACCAGTACCATAACTAGTTTTAAAGTGCTTAGGACCACGGCTGGCACAAGGTAATGCTCAGTTAACATTAGCAGTTACTTTTCTTTCTTTCTTTTTTATTTATTTTTATTAGTTGGAGGCTAATTACTTTACAATATTGTAGTGGTTTTTGTCATACATCGACATGAATCAGCCATGGATTTACATGTATTCCCTATCCCGATCCCTCCTCCCACCTCCCTCCCTACCCGATTCCTCTGGGTCTTCCCAGTGCACCAGGCCCGAGCACTTGTCTCATGCATCCAACCTGGGCTGGTGATCTGTTTCATCCTAGATAATATACATGTTTCGATGCTGTTCTCTCGAAACATCCCACCCTCGCCTTCTCCCATACTTTTCTTTAAAATGAAGCACAGCACGTAGAGATGGCCCAAGTAGTAAATACTTGTCTTATGACTGTAATAACACTGCATCAAAAGAAAAGGATCACTTTAAAATAATCAGAGAAGATGTACTGGCACTTACATTTTGAGCACTGCAAAGACCTTGCCTGTGCGTGGAAGATAGGTAGCTGCTTTGTATTTTCAGAATGGCAAAAAAAAAAAAACAAACAAACAAACAACCCACAACAACCCACAAAAAGAGAAGAATGCTTTTGAAAATCTTTTCTGAGAAAAATGTACCTTGTCCATGAGGGCGCCTATGGACAACAGGTAGGATCATGAAGCGAAAGAAGTGAAGTGACCTTCTGGGTGCGGGCAGCGCTCATTCTAAGTTACTCTTCCGAAGCAGAGCCTGTCCCGGCCCGCAGTGAAAAGGCCTGCCATTTCTCACCTGGTCCCTAGGGGAGTCGCGGAGCTAAGTGTAGCGGCAGCGGCCTCACTTCGGGGCCTCAGCTACGTCTTTATTGTCTCCAGATTGGAATCCGAGATCCGCAACGCTGCCAAGAGAGGGCGGTACCCACCTCAGCCAGGAAGCAGCACCCTACCCAACTTGGCACGCGGATACCCGCGGGAAGCTCCGCCCACTAGCCGCTCTCCAGTCTGCTTCCGCCCATTGGTCGCTCGGAATACCGAGACCCGCCCCCAAATTTGAAAGCTTCTCCCGGGAGCGGAAGAGAAGTCTACAGAAAGAGACCGCGGCGCTCCGGCGCGTCTTCCCGGAAGCCCCGCCCACTCCCAGCGTTCAATGCGGGACTCTGGCCGCCATTGTTTGAATTTGAAAAGGGTAATAACTCGGTTTTGGTCGCGGGTCGGGCTGGCTGGGTAACGTTTGCAGGTGAGGGTGCGAGGAAGGAAATGGGGGACTGCGTACAAACCAGGTGAGGTGAAGAAAGGTCTCAGACGGTGTGAGTACCTTCCGACGGGGCTCGAGACGCCCCTCAGGTTACTGTCGATACCTGGGGCTCCGGGTGGAGCCAGTGGAGGGCTGAACCATTTTACTAGCGTTAGGGTTTAAATCTGGTCTCCGCTGTTTCAGTCCTTGGGGTTGCAAAGAGTCGGACACAACCGACTGAACAACAACAACAACCGCCGCTTATTAGCTCTGAGGCAAGGCAACGACTTCGGTCTCTCTGGGCCTCAGTTTCTTCAGCTGTTAAAAGGGGTTAATTTTAGAACCTATCTTTCCGGCTTTTAAGACGATAAGGTAAAACTGTTAGAAATAGTGCATTGGTATGGTAAGCTCTATGTATTTGCAATCCTTAGTATTTTTATTATTGTTACTGCTGCTGTGAGGATCAGGCCTCCTTTGCCAAATCTGGTGTCCTGTATCCCCAAGGTGAGCAGTTTGCTCGGCAAGTGGCTTGGTCTGTTTTTAGGGCAGTTGGGGGCTCAATGTCTGTGCAGTTATTTCCAGACTGCTACCGCCGGTGCTGGGGCGCTCCCTTCTTGGTCTTTGCAGTGCGGAGCGAAAGGGGGTGTGTGTGGCGAGTGCGATGACTGCAGTCATCTCCAACCCCCCACTCCCCAACCCCCGTTTGGAAGGTTTCCCCCATCTCATTATACTTTTTGGTTCAGTGATTTCTGCGTAGTGCCGCTCTCTGATATTCCTTACTGAAGGGCTAATTGACAGAAGTTCGAGCCTTACGGGTTAGCTTGTTTTTAATCCCCAAGTTGATCAATTTCATGTTTGAATCCGTTCTTAAAACAAGGTAGCATTACTCCGAAACAGCCCTAACTGTGTACGTTTTATTAAATGTCCAAGACCTGAGACTTAAGGTTGCAAAATAATGTAAAAGACTCATAAGTTAATTGTGAAGATTTTGTATTTTGTGGATGACATTCAGCAACCTCAGTAGCAATCAGTCTTCAACCATGAAATCTCATTGGAGAGAAGATAAAGGACACCATTTCTCAGACGTGGGAACAGCCTTCCGCAATGAGGTCTTGAACCCTGCTGTTGGCTAGAGATAATATAAGACCAAAAAAAATTCTTTTTTGCGCATAGAGGATTTTATTTATTATTATATAACCCACTACACAGGGAGTCTTTGTCACTGCCTAAATCTCATTTGTTGTAGGGGTACAGAGTAGTATAAGACAAGGTCCTTGCTCTTGTTTCTAGTCTAATTAGGGAGGCCACACATCCATAGAAGTTAACTAAAAGTACAGGAAGTGACAATATATCTCTCAATTTTATGATTGTTAAGAGGCAGTTTATTCATTGAAAACTGAACATAGAATCAAGCACAAACAACTGTAACCATATTTTTTTTAAGGAGGTACAATATTCTTTTTAACTTAGTAATTTCATAAAAGATGTGTCAACATTTTTTTAAGCCAAAAATTAATTGAAGGCAAAGAATGAAGGTTACTTTCCAGTTTCCTGGGCATTTCCATGAAATTTGAGTTATGAAATGTCAAGCCATTGCATTCATGTTTTTGTAAACTTTTCTTCTCTGTTCTAGATCAGTGGTTTTTATGCTATCAGATACTTTTTCTAATTCTCGCCCATAAATTGAATATTTGAAATATTCTATCAAACTACATTTAAATGACTTTTCTCATGTTGATTACATCATTGATGATACAATGACAGCAAAAAGCAATAAAGATTAAACGTGCTTAATTGTATGGTTGGTTGATCTTGTAGTTTGCTCGGTTTTGTTGAATGTAAATGTATAGTTTCTTTAAATCTTTGAAGTTTAGGGAAAAAAGAGAAACAGCCTTGTATTGAGTTTGGGGGTTTCAACGCTGATCAAGGAAAAAGATACCACCACACGGTGGCAGTAACACATGAGGATCTTGAGCAGCTGAGCACTTGACAGGACTGCGCGCTTTAAAGCTGCCGGAAGAACGAGACTTCTCGGAGGCTAGAGTGAAGGGCTGTCCCCTAGAAGGGGAGGGTAAGGAATTGGGGAGAAGTGGGAATAACAGCAAAGGGAGCTCAGTATAAGTCCTTGCTCAGCAACGCAGTAGGGAGTCTGCCTGTCTGAGAACTTCAAAGGGCAGCAGTGGCTTGGGGTCTTCATAGTCTTGGATTTTGTCTGCGGCTATGATGGTTGAGTGCAGTTTCATGGAATGTGCAAACCAGATGGGCTCTAAATGGCTAAAACTAAGATTATTTTGGCTATATATAAAGCAAACAGATGTATAAAAATTTGAGTTTGACACCTCAGGGGGTTTTTAAATTAATGTTGCCAGCCTGCTCTGAAGAAGTAAACAATGCAGGGCCAGTATACAGGGGCCATCTTTGGCTCACTTACTTAACGCCTGTGGATGCCCATTACAAGTACCTTCTTAAGCCAGGAACCCTATTGGCAGTAACTGTTCTGAATATATCATAATATTCAGAGAGTATAGTGCCCTCTCCATTTCTCCCTGATACTGTTCACCTAGTGGATTCTCAGTAAATATTTGAATGTTAATATCTTATCAGTGAAGCTTACCTCTACATTTGTCTTTAAATTTAGTGACTTGATGCTTAATTTAGTTGTAGTAGTTTCAGTTCAGTTCAGTCCTTCGGTCACGTCCGACTCTTGGCACCCCATGAATTGCAGCACGCCAGGCCTCCCAGTCCATCGCCAACTCCTGGAGTTTACTCAAACTCATGTCCATTGAGTCAGTGATGCCGTCGAACCATCTCATCCTCTGTCATCTCCTTCTTCTGCCTTCAATCTTTCCCAGCATCAGGATCTTTTCAAATGAGCCAGTTCTTCGCATCAGGTGGCCAAAGTATTAGAGCTTCAGCTTCAGCATCCGTCCTTCCAATGAATATTCACGACTGGTCTCCTTTAGGATGGACTGGTTTGATCTCCTTGGAGTCCAAGGGGCTCTCAAGAGTCTTCTCCAACACCACAGTTCAAAAGCATCAATTCTTTGGTGCTCAACTTTCTTTATACTCCAACTCTCACATCCATATATAACTACTAGAAAAACCATAGCTTTGACTAGACAGACCTTTGTCAGCAAAGTAATGTCTCTGCTTTTTAATATGCTGTCTAGGTTGGTCATAACTTTTCTTCCAAGGGTCTAGCGCCTTAATTTCATGGCTGCAGTCACCATCTGCAGTGATTTTTGGAGCCCCCAAAAATAAAGTCAGCCATTGTTTCCCCATCTATTCGCCATGAAGTGATGGGACCAGATGCCATGATCTTAGTTTTTGAATGTTGAGTTTTAAGCCAACTTTTTCCATTCTCCTCTTCCACTTTGATCATGAGCCTCTTTAGTTCTTTTTTGCATTCTGCCATAAGGGTGGTGTCATCTGCATATCTGAGGTTATTGATATTTCTCCCGGCAATCTTGATTCCAGCTTGTGCTTCATCTAGCCCAGCATTTCTCATGATGTACACTGCATGTAAGTTAAATAAGCAGGGTGACAATATACAGCCTTGACGTACTTGTTTCCTGATTTGAAACCAGTCTGTTCCATGTCCAGTTTTAACTGTTGCTTTCCTGACCTGCATACAGATTTCTCAAGAGGCAGGTCAGGTGGTCTGGTATTCCAGCTTTTTAAGAATTTTCCACTGTTTGTTGTAATCAACACAGTCAAAGGCTTTGGCATAGTCAATGAAGCAGAAATAGATGTTTTTCTGGAACTCTCTTGCTGTTTTGATGATCCAACAGATGTTGGCAATTTGATCCCTGGTTCCTCTGCCTTTTCCTTTTTCTTTTTCTTTTTTCTATTTTTTTTTTATTAACAAGCAAAATAATAATTAAAAAACAACAACACAACAACAAAAACCTTAAAGTTGGAACTGCAATAAGTCAGACTGCTGCTGGAGTTCACAGATGTACCTGGGGTACATGTTCCCCTACTGCAAGGCAGGACCTAGGCACATAACTGTGCATTTAGGTATACAGGTGACCAGGAAGAGTCAAAGAGGTGGAAACCACTGGAGAACAGAAAGCATCACAAGCTTTTCATCAGGCAATTCCAAAGCGCTCTGCTCTTTTCCTCTTCTTTGCCTCTGTATCCTCTGTGGTTCCTGTTCCAGCTGAACTTGTGACAATCCCAAATTGCTCCTTTCTCTTTTTCATCTTTTCGTCATCCTCCGACTTTCTGGAGATTGAAGAGACATTCAAACCAAACCTTTGAGCTCTTTCTTTTAGCTTATCCAAGTTAACCATAGGCTTGGTATCAGACAACAGACCTTTTGATGGAACTGGAGAAATCCCAAATCTAGCTGCCCGGGCAGCTTTCTTACTCTCCAAACTCACAGGTACATTGAATCGTTCAGCTCTCTTCTGCATCCTCTCAGTCTGTGGTATTTCAGATGTAATTTTTACCACTTTTTTCTCTGCTGCCACATCAACAGTTTTTTCAGGAGGCTCTTCCTCTTTGACAGGCAGTTCTAAGGGCTTTGGTTCTTCTTCCTCTGTTTCATCTCCCAGTACATCTTCTTCATTTGCCTCCTCTTCAGCATGCTCTTCAAGATATGCCTGGAGCCTGTTGATGAGATCTTGTTTTATTCCCTTGGTCTCCAGACCACGAGCAAGGCACTCCTGCTTTAGTTCAGCAAGCTTCAGCTTATGAAGCTCCACCGTCTCAGTCGCCATCTTGTTACCCTTCTCCTCTGCCTTCTCTAAGTCCAGCTTGAACACCTGGAAGTTCACGGTTCACGTACTGTTGAAGCCTGGCTTGGAGAATTTTGAGCATTACTTTACTAGCGTGTGAGATGAGTGCAGTTGTGCAGTAGTTTGAGCATTCTTTGACATTGCCTTTCTTTGGGATTGGAATGAAAACTGACCTTTTCCAGTCCTGTGGCCATTGCTGAGTTTTCCAAATTTGCTGGCATATTGAGTGCAGCACTTTCACAGCGTCATGTTTTAGGATTTGAAATAGCTCAACTGGAATTCCATCACCTCCACTAGCTTTGTTCATAGTGATGCTTCCAAAGGCCCACTTGACTTCACATTCCAGAATGTCTGGCTCTGGGTGAGTTATCATACCATTGTGATTATCTGGGTCGTGAAGATCTTTTTTGTATAGTTCTCTGTATATTCTTGCCACCTCTTCTTAATATCTCCTGCTTCTGGTAGGTCCATACCATTTCTGTCCTTTATTGTGCCCATCTTTGCATGAAATGTTCCCTTGGTATCTTTAATTTTCTTGAAGAGATCTCTAGTCTCTCCACTCTGTTATGTTCCTCTATTTGTTTGCATTGATCACTCAGGAAGGCTTTCTTATCTCTCCTTGCTGTTCTTTGGAACTCTACATTCAAATGGGTATATCTTTCCTTTTCTCCTTTGCCCTTAGCTTCTCTTCTTTTCTCAGCTATTTGTAAGGCCTTCTCAGACAACCATTTTGGCCTTTTGCATTTTTTTTTCTTGGGGTTGGTCTTGATCCCTGTCTCCTGTACAGTGTCATGAACCTCCGTCCATAGTTCTTCAGGCACTCTATCAGATCTAATCCCTTGAATCTATCTGTCACTTCCACTGTATAATTGTAAGGGATTTGATTTAGGTCATACCTGAATGGTCTAGTGGTTTTCCCTACTTTCTTCAGTTTAAGTCTGAATTTGGCAATAAGGAGTTCAGGGTCTGTTCCCGGTCTTGTTTTTGCTGACTGTATAGAGCTTCTCCATCTTTGGCTGCAAAGAATATAATCAGTCTGATTTCGGTATTGACCATCTGGTGATGTCCATGTATAGTGTCTTGTGTTGTTGGAAGAGGGTGTTTGCTATGACCAGTATGTTCTCTTGGCAAAACTGTGCTGCTCTTTGCTTCATTCTGTACTCCGAGGCCAAATTTGCCTGTTACTTCAGGTATTTCTTGACTTCCTACTTTTGCATTCTAGTCCCCTATAATGAAAAGGGCATCTTTTTTGGGTGTAGTAGTTTACAGGTAAATTATTCCATATTCACCTGTGACATATTAGGTACTGCTTTAAATATGTTCATATCACTTTTTTTTTTTTTTTTTTTTTTGGTCATGCCGCAAGGCTTGCAGAATCTCATTTTCCCAGCCAGGAATTGAACCCTAGCCCTTACAGTGAAAATGCTGAGTCCTAACCACTGAACCACCAGGGAATGCCCAGTACTTCACTTCTTGCTTGTATTATTTGAAAGAATTCAGTTGAAAGTAATTGTCCAGATAATTGAATTTAACTCATAAATGCTAAAACATTACAAAGTCTGTAATATTCTTCAGAAGACACTAAATAACTAAGCACAAGGTTATACTTATTCCACCTATTTGACTTCTGAGAGCATTTCAGACAGAGACTGAATGTTTTACACTATCTTACTTTGTGGATTATCTTCACTCATGAAATCTCTTTGGATGAGTCTACCTCTAGTTTGGATCACATGAACAGTAGTACTAGGCAATATCCAATATTAGTTGATTTAGAATCTGTAAATAATCTGTTCTTTTATCTTTTCCATGGCTCATCATGTTATAGATGGAATAGTAGTATCTTTCTTTTGGAAATCTAGTTATATGGCAAGAAGTAGCAGGCTGGACTCATAGACTTTTTGAACTGTGGATGGTTTATATGCTGATTTATTGAGATTTTCTAAAGATGTTACTGTTACTCTTGCAGAATGGAATCTAATTTAAATCAAGATGGGATGTCTAGACCGTCTTATGTTTTCAGTGCTGACCCACTTGCAAGACCTTCAGAAATAAATTTTGATGGCATTAAGCTTGACCTCTCTCGTGAATTTTCCTTAGTTGCTTCAAGCATTGAGGTAAGTACAAGAAAAGAATTATGTTGATTGTCGTGATTCAGTGAAAATGGACATTTGCACACATGCACACATATACTTGTTGACAGGTATGACTAAAGGTGAGCTTTCCAAACTTTTAGGTTTAAGACAAAGTTTTATCTCAGTAAATTTCTCATGATGCCCTAAATACATAACAGTTCCTTTCCAAATAGTAGGTGCAGACAACTTAATAACTATTTATGCCTGACCTAGTAGCCATTTGAGAAAAAATTAAATGAAAAAAGAATTTTAACATCCTTCTTCACCAACTAAAGGTTATTTAGTAATGGGTTATATGTGCCTTTTGGGTGCTGCACAACTTCTCAAACTTTGGAATCAGATTAGACACTGCCACCTTCATTTCCTTTTCTTCATTGTTTTGGGGTTGTACTTGCTTTTCATCACAACCAGTAAGAAATCCAGCTTCACTAACATGACATTATCAAAAGAAGTAGTGTGATTCAGTGTTGAAACCAAATTACTTCATGGTTTTCAACTTGTGTCAAGTATTGCTATGATTCTCTCAAAAATGTCAAATATTCCACTATGCCCCTGGGAACTGCAGGCCTTAGTTTAAAAAATAATGCAGATTTAAAAAAACTTAGTAGTGTTTAAGAAATAAACATTACTAAGTTTCTACCACCCTACCTGTTACTATGTTTGCTGTGTTTATAGACTTTTTCTTACAAATTTAGGTTCAATTTATTTATAATTCTCTTTACTGCAGATTAGATTAACTTTGATGCCTTAGAGATGTACTAACCCATTTTATAAAGACAGATGGAGTGGATATATGCATAGGTATAACTGATTGACTTTGCCGTATAGTAGAAACTAACAACATTGTAAATAAACTACAGTCTAATAAAAGACTGAACTCCAGTTAATGGAAACTGTGTACTTTGGGTGATAATGACGTGTAATAAAGTTACCACTTTGGTTCCCCGTGATAGTGGGGGAAGCTGCTTGTGGGGACAGAAAGTACATGAGAAGTTTGTACTTCCTCATGCACTTTCTCTGTCCTCAGTTTTGCTGTGAATTTAAAACCACTCAGAGTGACTTTGTTTTGTGTGTGTGTGTGTGTGTGTTTTGTAAGTAAGTGGTCTAGGAACTGACACTAGGAAAAAGGCAGACTAGAATGCTCCAAGCCCTCATTTCCCCCATGAAACATTAAAACAACAACAGTAACTAGAGACTGACTAAAATACCTTTGTGAGAGCTCTGAAAAGCAAAAATGCACAGCAACCATGTAAATACCCAATTTAAAAAAAAAAACTTTTGAATTGTTTAAAAAAAAAAATGATGGAAGGGGAAGAGGGAGTGTAGGGAACATAGATAAAAGAATAGCAATTATTTTATACCCATTTCATGTGGCGGGCTCTTTTACTTTAGCTTATTTAATCATAAAAGAGAGAAAGGGATGGCCTGTTTTTGTACTGCTCACAAGCTGTCACTGGTTTTTGCATATCTAGATGGTTGAAGAAGAAAAATCCTATTTCATGACATGAAAATTATATGAAATTCAAGTATTAATTGGTTTACTTATTTTCTAGGTCTTCTGGGTCTGCTTTTGTATCACAGTGGCATTTGCTTGCTGATGGACACATGTGTTTATAGTGTCTGGCTATTACAAACAAAGCTTTTATGAAATTTTGTATACAAATCTTTGTATGTTTCCTTTTTTTTTTTTTTCCCCTTGGATGAATACCTAGGATTGGATTGACTGGATCATTTTTAGGAAACTACCAAACTTTTTCAAAGTGATGATAGCATTTTATATTCCCAGTAACAGTGTGTGAGAGTTAAGTTCTTCCACATCCTCACCAACCCTTGGTGTGGTTAATCTGTTTGTTTTTAAATAGACTTCATTTTTTAGAGGAGTTTTATACTCACAGCTAAAATGAACAGAAGATACAATGATTTCCCGTATTCTCTCTGCCCCTACATAGCTTCCTTCATTATTAACATCTCCAACCACAGAGGTACATTTGTTACAATTCATGGATGTACTTTGACACATAATCACTCAGATTCCTTACAATATAGTTACATTATGCTTTACTCCTGGTGTTGTACATTCTATTGAACAAATGTGTAATAACATGTATCCATCATTATAGAATCATACAGTGTATTTTCACTACCTTGAAATTCATCTATGTTTCACCTGTTCATCTGTTTCTCAGCCCCACCAACCATTGATCTTTTAACTATCTCCAATGTTTTGCCTTTTTCAGAATATCATATTTTAATAGTTGGGATTATACTGTCTGTAGCCATTTTAGATTGGCATCTTTCACCTAGTAGTAGACATCTAAGATTCTTCCATGTCTTGCCATGGCTTGATAGTTCAGTTGTTTTTAGTTCTGAATTATATTCCGTTATATGGATGTTAAGTTCAGTTCAGCTCAGTTGCTCAGTTGTGTCTGACTATTTGCAACCCCATGGACTGCAGCACACCAGGCTTCCCTGTCCATCACCAACTCCCGGAGCTTGCTCAAACTCATGTCCATTGAGTTGGTGATGCCATCCAACCATCTCATTCTCTGTCGTCCCTTCTCCTCCTGCCTTCAGTCTTTCCCAGCATCAGGGTCTTTTCCAATGAGTCAGTTCTTTGCATCAGGTGGCCATAGTATTGGAGCTTCAGCTTTAGCAGTCAGTCCTTGCAACAAATACTCACTTCTTTAGGATGGACTGGTTTGATCTCCTTGCAGTCCAAGGGACTCTCAAGAGTCTTCTCCAACACCACAGTTCAAAAGCCTCAATTCTTCAGCACTCAACTTTCTTTATAGTCCCCAACTCTCTACATCCATACATGACTGCTGGAAAAACCATAGATTTGACTAGACAGACCTTTGTTAGCACAGTGATGTCTCTGCTTTTTAACGTGCTTTCAAGGTTGGTCATGGTTTTTCTTCCAAGCAGCAAGCGTTTTTTAATTTTATGGCTGCAGTCTCCGTTCACAGTGATTTTTGGAGCCCCAAAAAATAAAGTCTCTCACTGTTTCCATTGTTCTGAATTATATTTAGTTCTAATTTTAGTTTATAATTTAAACTAAATATATACTTATATATATTTGGTTATATATATGTAAATACATATTTAGTTATATAAATATATAGTTTATAATTTTAATTTATGTTTATAATTTATAATGATGAATTTAGTTATGAATTATAGTTAGTTCTGAATTATATTCCATTATATGGATGTACTGTGGTTTATTCATTGACCTATTGAAAGGCATTTTAGTTTCTTCCTCTTCGGGAACTATGAAAAAAAATTTTATGAGCATTCGTATGCAAGTTTTCTTTGGACATAAGTTTTCAGTTTCTTTGGATAATTACCAATGAACATGATTGCTAGATTACATGGAACAAAAATATGGTTAATTTTGTAAGAAACTGTTAAACTATCTTCCAAAATGGCTGTAACATTTTGCATTCCCACCAGCAGTGAATGAGAGTTCCTGTTGATTCACATCCTCACCAGCATTTGGTTGTCAGTGTTCAGGTACTGGCTATTCTAATAGATGTGTAGTGATAGCTCATTTTAATTTGCATTTCCCTGGTGACATACAGTGTGGAGCATCTTTTTATATGCTTATTTGTCATCTGTATATCTTATTTGATGAGATACCTGATAAGGTCTTTGGCCCATTTTAATCAGTTTGTGTTATTATTGTTATATTTTGAGAATTCTTTATATATCTTGGTTAATAGTCCTTTATTTGGTATCTTTTTTGCACATATTTTCTCCCAATCTGTGGCTTGTCTTATCATTCTCTTGATTATGTCTTTTACAAAGCATAAAATTAGTTTTAATGAAGCCCAGCTTATCTGTTATTTCTTTCATAGATCATGCCTTTGGTGTTGAATCAAAAAAGTCATTGCCAAACACTGGATCATCCAGATTTTCTAGAATTTTAATCGTTTTGCGTTTTACATTTAGGTTTGTATTCTTTTTAAGTTACTTTCTTTGACAGGTGTAAAGTCTACATCTAGGTTAATTTTTTTGCATCTGGATATCCAGTTGCTCCAGCCCCATTTGTTGAACAGACTGTGTGCTCACTTGTGTAGCCTTTGCTTTTTTGTCAAAGATCAATTGACTATATTCATGTTGATCTAGTCCAGGGCTCTCTTCTGTTCCATTGATTCTGTTCTTTTGCCACGGCTATACTCTCTTGATTACTATAGCTTTATAGTATGTCTTAAAGTTGGGTATTGTGAGTCCTTCATCTTAGTTCCTCTCTTTTAATTTCATGTTGGCTATCCTTAGTAGTCTTTTTATTTTTAGTCATTCTAATAGGTATGTATTGATAATCTAATTGTTATTTACATTTACCTAATGACCAAAGATGTTAAATATGTTTTCATGTGCTTATTTGCCCTTTGTGTATCTTCAGAGAAATGTCAATTTAAATCTTTTGCCCATTAAAAGAATTTTTTTAAATTGAATTTTAAGTATTCTTTATGTTCTCTGGATACATCTGTCTGTTAGATATATCCTTTGCAAGTATTTCCTCTATGGCTTGTTTTTTCATCCTTCAGGTGTTTTGGAAGAGAAGTTTTAAATTTTGACAAAGTCCATTTTACCAGTTTGTTCTATTATGTATTGTGCTGTTTGTGGCATATCTAAGAAATCTTTGCTTAATTCAAGGCCACAAAGGTTTTCTTCTATTTTTTTTTTTAGAAGTTTTTAGTTTTAGTTTTATATTTAAGTCTGTGATCTGTGACCCATTTGAAATTAATTTTTCTATACAATGTGAGGTAGGTATTCAAATTGCTATTTTTTTAAATTGTATATAGATGTCCAGTTGTTCTAGCACAGTTTGTTGAAAGAGCTATCATTTCTGTACTGCATTTCCTTTACAGCTTTGTCATAAATCAAATACTCTTGTATGTGAAGGTTTATTTTTGAATATTCTGTATATTCTGTTTCATTTATCTATCTCTCTAGCTGTCAGTACTCCACTGTTTTGATCACTGTAGTTTTAAAATGTGTTGAACTCATGTGGTAGTGTTAGCCCATCAAATTTCTTCTTTATCAGAATTGTTTTGACTGTTCTAGGAACTTTGCATTTATCTGTGAGTTTTTAAATGAGTTTGTCAGTTAATCCCCCCAAAACATTCCTGCGATTTTTTGTTGCAATTGCATTGAATCTGTAGATCAGTTTTGGAAGAATGGATATCTTAACAATACTGAGTCTACCAAATAATGAATGAGGCATATCTCCATTTATTTTGGTCCCTTCTACTTTCTCTGAGCAATGTTTTTTAATTTTCAGTGTATGGTGTTCCCGATCTTTTGTTAAGATTTTTCTTTAATTGGTTCATAATTTTTTGAGGTTATTGCAAATGTTTTTTTTTTAAATCAAATTCTGTTTCTTCTAAGCATATATAGAAACATGACTTTTTGCATATTGGTCTTCTATCATACTACATTGCTAAACTCATTTAATAGTTGTGGTAACTTTTTTGAAGGTGTTGTCAGATTTTTAACATCTGAAGATGTAGACGTTCATGATGTCTGTTAATAAAGACAATTTTATTTCTGCCTTCCCATTCTTTTCCTCTTCCTTTTTCTTCTCTTCTTCCCCTTCCCTTTCCTTCACTTCTTTCCTCCTCTCCCCCTCCTTTCACCTGATGACTTTGGCTAAAACATCTAGAACCTCTAATATAGTGTTGAATAGAGGTGGTGAAAGCAGAAATCCCTTTGTTGTTACTTAACTTGCTACTCTTCTTTGATTCAGTCTTTTGTCATCAAATATGATGTTGAGTATAGGTTCTTATACATGCTCTTTATCAGGTTAAGGAAATTCCCTTCTATTCCAGTCTGCTTGGAATTCTTATTACGAATGGATGTAGAATACGTATATCAAATTCAAGTCATTCATTCTGGGAGAAGGCGAGGGTGGGATGTTTCAAGAGAACAGCATTGAAACATGTATATTATCTAGGGTGAAACAGATCACCCGCCCAGGTTGGGTGCATGAGACAAGTGCTCGGGCCTGGTGCACTGGGAAGACCCAGAGGGATC